GCCGCCCACTCAATGAGTGTATCTCCCCCACTGTGTAGAGCGGGCGTTGAAATCGCCCCAGACAAGTACTGGACGGAAAAGGAAAGTACAAATGTAACTAATAAGTCCGTCTAAGTACGCCTCGAATATGGGGTGGCCGCAATTCGGAGACATGTAGCAGCCCACAATGACCAAAAATTTTATTTAGGTGGTCGTCTCAACACTGCGAGAGTGTTGTAATTTTAATTACTCATATAACGCAATTTACAATTAAAACAGTCGCGTGTAGATGCTGTTCAGATACATATTTTTACACGTTTCACATATTGTGTTATAATGCACTCTTGAAAGTGTTCGTAATGCTTGTACCCGTTTGACCCTTAATTCACTGTGTTAGTACACCCGTGTTCGCTAGTAGTAATGAGTCGATAATTGTGTTAAACACTTTATAATTGCAAACTGTAGCTGTGAGTCACTGATAGCATACTTATTGTTATACTATAGAAACTATATGATGCATATAATAGATAAACAGCCCTAGTTGTTCAATAATTGATTAATAACTATAAAAGTATATAATGCAATATCGTTGTTCAAATAAAAAAAAATAGATTAAATGTGTACTATATTGGAGTTTATTTTGCCAACCTTGAATAGTAGGTATTACAATGCTAGGAAGCATTCTAAATTGCAGAAATAAAATAAGAACCTACTTTTAGTTCTTTAACAGATCTATAGTTTTAAATTGCCTATTTATCATTACATATCTTGGTTTAAGTTTTATCTTGATATTTAATTCATATTAACTTATTTTACTACTATGACTTAAAATATTGAGTTAATTTTAAGTGTTTTTTACAGATGGTTCCTATAAATGTATTAATGCATTTTACAATTTTAGAGATTCGTACAACAATAGAAATATTATTTTTGAAGCAAATTATTTTGTTAAACTAGAGTAAAACTTAAAGGTAAATGTGTATTTTATCTGTGAAGGACATGTTGCAAAATTAAATGATCTTGCAAAAGTGTGTTTTTCTTTTTGTATGGTTTGATTACCAACTGAGCAGAGCAATGCACTGTTCATTTCTTAACCACACGTGAACGAACTATACCTTCGTCATTTGTTTATCGAATAAAAGAGATAACACCAAGGGACCCGAGGAAAGGTATTGGAAAACGACACCGATCTTCTGATAACTGGTTTTTTTATTTATTAATTTCATTTTATTTCATTTAAAAAATAGTGTTTTTAACAAGTATGAGAGTTTGGGCACTTTAACAGTGAATTGGTGAACATTTTGATATCCAAGAAAAGGAGTAATAAACCACACTGGATTATGTGAAGAACAAAGAAGGTTAGAGCACGTTATAAGGTAGCACGAACATGGTCAACGCCCTCAAATTGCGGCACTGTATTGTTAGTAACAATGACAGTTGCGTACGATAAGCAAACGTATGATCTTTTCGCAAGTTGAAGTCGCCCTAGTTTATTGATGAGATACGAATCCAAATAGAGATAACACGCATTTACCATTGTCGGTAACCAGTAAATTATAGCTTCTTACTGTTAACCAGAGATGTCTATTTTACAGACGAAATATGAAACGAAAACACCCACGGGTCGTCGTACCAATCAACTACGAATTGCAACATAAGAAATCTAGAACCTAAGCTGATAATAGTTAAGTTCCTAAGTACAATGAATTGAAAAATCTGGTGGCACAAACTCTCACTTTTTAATATTGCAAGCGTATCCAGAAGCGGTAGGATGTATTACGACAGTAAGTGACCCGACAGTAAGTGAGTGAAGAGTGATCGGTAATTGTAGCTATTAAGAAGTCAGAAATTTATTCTTCTTACATGTTCCTCCGAGCTTTTTTCCCCCTAAGCGAGCGATATCGAAGTTCTGTAGAAAGACGTACTGTCGGACTTTTTAGGGCTCCAACTAACCGTAACGATTGCCACAGATGTTCGTATGGCAACCGTCACAGAGCGCTTAACGAACTTGCCGAGACACGGAGAGTTCTAGATCATCATCAATCATCATGAGGAGTCATCAATATGTCATGAAATGGTCACCCATTCATAGACTAACCTGGCTAGGATTGCTTAACTTTGCAATGTGTTAACCTACTCGGTTACCACATAGCCACGAGCCACTTATTCTTCTTAAATATTTTTGTGCTATTCAAGTTTTTAGTAGGTTACATTGTTTTCAAGGTAAATCGTGCGCAATTAACTACACGGATGTCGTAGTGGTTTAAGGGTCACCTTGCGCTTTCTACCGCGTGGAGTGTTGTGGGTTCGATCCCCACATGGGACAACACTTTGTGTTATCTACAAATGGTTGTTCTGAGTCTGGGTGTAAAACTACCAACGCCTTCAAGGATCTGACCTCTATTGAAACCAAACGGTTTGACTAGAAGAAAGATCCTAAGTGTTTTGAACTTGTCAAATATCTATGGATGTATTTTAATGTGCAATCTGACTACAGCAAGGGTTAGTAATATTACCGTTACGATGTCGAGACTGGATGACCATACGATAAATTCAGGACAATTTGTTATAATCTGGATTCAAAACTAGATACACCTCAATTAATAGGACAAAGCAGAGATCTGAAGCATACTTAAAAAAACTTGACAGTAAAAGAAAGAACAAGTAGAAGAGAAGCATTTTTGGATACATTAACATGCACTAAACAATTATAGAAATCCACAAACCGCTATATCGCCTCAAACCAACAACTGCAAAAGTGCTATCAGCAGTGTAATGTCCCTCTCACGTTATGCTTCAAAATGATGGATGTGAGGAACTGTGTTCAGATCCTCACATCCATCACTTTGCCGAAATATAAGTTATATTCATCAGATATAACAATTTTGATGTATATAAGTGAAATATCTAGTCTTTTCCAAGGAATGTCATTTGTCATGATTACTACTGAGTTGACATACTACACCACTTTTATTTCAAACCAGACCTGAACACATGGTTAACAGCATATAGCTTCATTCTATGTACTGTATACGAATAGCGAAAAAAACCCCACTGTGCCAACGACGATTATGACCACGATTTATTTTTATATCTTGGAATAAAAAAAGAAACTTAATAAATTATATTTTTATTTTGGTCGATGTTTCTATCAACCCATTTCAATTCACAACTCACATTCGCCACAAACTGGTGGTCCAAATACAAAGATTTTATTTGTTTTTTATCCCTTATGAGATTGTCGTCATGGGGTATTTGATGTCAATAATCATTTCTCGGTACTCTAATTCATTTATTATTACTGCATCAGGTTTGTTAACAACAAAATAGAAGTACAGTGTTGTAAAACTATTTTCAAGGTTTTATTTCACAATAAGTATAAAAGTTTTCAGTATCTTCTAAAGGAAATCCGAAATTTATTTAGTGAGTGGGCAGATTGAGTTATCGATAAGCCACCGTTTACTGAAACATTTTATTTCATAAAACAATTTATATTTTTTCACTTAAAACTTTTTTAAAGGCTGTTCTGGTAAATGTAAGGTTAGTTTATCAAAACTAGCCTTCATTTTTTGAAAAAACATATTTGATTAATAATTAAATTAATTTAAAGAATTAAATTAATATTAATTCGAATAAATTTGAAGCGGGACAAAGAAGACGGTGAATTAGGACAAGAAAAACGTATAAGGACACGTTGTCAAATAGTAGCATATTTTTAATTTTTTTTTTTTTTAAATTAATTAAAAAATAAATTTAAATTACAACTAACTGCTGTAACACACCTAAATGACATTTAAATTTTAAGTGTTAAGGGTACATTAGTATCTAATATCAGCCATAAATACTCTAATATTAAAGAATGGCATCACTAAATTCGTAGGCTTAATTTTTTTATCTATGATATAATTAAGTACTGATAATTTATTATTCTACATATATTTGGATTCAAGTTAAGTTTAAGGTACTAGTATATTCATAGTTTAGTAGGAAGTCTGCGTATATATGTGTATGTATAACATAAGGGTTGATCACTGTATACCAAAAAGTTCTAATTAGGTACCTAAATTATATGTTAATATATTTTTATATTTGAATAAATAATCTAAGCACCTATTTGAAATTTCACACACGCTTTAGCGAAATTATTAAATATAGCACTGCCTACTGGCACTAAATAGGTAGTAACTGAAAACGAAATTCAAAAGCAAAAGATTTTTGTTTTGTAAAATATGATTGAATTTATAATTAATAAATAGTTTTAAGTAATGCATTTGTGGTACACATATTAATATGTGGGTTTATGAATAAGAACTACTTATTAATTTAATAGATAGCATACGTCTACTTTCTTGATGTCGTGTACTTAAAAATAGAATCGTGTGCGACACACGTAATCTCTTAAATTTCATTAGTTGAAGTCATATTTGTTGTCACATAATACATGATCGCAAACATTGTGGAACTCTTAATGTTTCCCAAATCTTCCATACACACATCTGTTATAGATACTCATTATTACATTATCAGATGCTTCTATTAACGTTATACAGATAAACATTTTACTAATTTTAATATGATTTATCACGTTTCATTATACTGAATATTATTTATCTGTAGGTGATTAAATAAAATCCTTGCACCTGCAGCTAATTTAAATTATCGTATAAACCTAAGCATAGATTACGCTTGTCAAGTCTAGCTACGTTGTCAAATAACAAGGCTAATCATTTCTTTGTACGATTCATATCTAAAAAATTACGTCTTAAGACTGATGATAATTCTAAAACTTCTTGCTTTTTTATAGAAAGCACACCAGATATTTAAACCCGAACCCGTATAAATTTTATGTACACACTATTAGCCTAAAAACTTTAAACCGTGACTTCGCTGCGTTAGCAGTTCTACCTGTACCTATCACCCGATAAAATACCTTTCTAGTGTGACTACTAACAAGTGAACTTTTCCGTTTATAATTTTAAGTCACTAACTATATTGAAATGTTTGTTTCTATTCTTTTCCAGAAAACCGTCAGATGGATATATTTACATAAATGGACGAATAAGGAATGAAAAGAAATTTAGACGCAGATCTTGTTATATACTCCAGGATGACAAAGTACAGGACATGCTCACAATAAGGGAATCCTTAAACTTTGCCGCTGATCTCAAACTAGGAAATCATATTAGCCAAGAACAGAAAAAACAAAGAGTGAGTATTTTTTAAATATTAACTTTATCCGTCTATCCTTTCTGTTGTAGCTATGAGTCCTGAGCATGACACTTTTCAGGTTTTATTACTAAAAAATAAATCAGCTTAAATTTTATAAAACACATTGACAATCTCCTAAAATAAGTCTAAAATATATTGTTTAATTTTCCATTTCAACTATTTACTTGTATGTGTGTAAATTTATGTTAAAATACTTGCCACCTTGGAGAGCGCGCTCATAATCTTTAATCGAAGATGTAAGGGTGTAAGGTGTAACAAATAAAAGGCTACTCAAAGATGCGTACTTATTTTTTAAATTCTTTAATCAGTACAGACTCCTTTTGGTTCTCTTAACAGTTTATATATAGAGAACTTTTCATATGAAACAAAGACTGTGGACCTTAATCTATTGGAAAATAAACTTACCCACATATGTATTGACTTTTTGTACTTTTTTCAGATTAATGAAATAATCGAATCTTTAGGCTTAAGAGCAGTTATCGATGTAAAATCTGTCAATTTATCTGGCGGACAAAGAAAAAGGCTGGCAATAGGACTGGAGCTTATAAGTGATCCTCAGATCATGTTTCTCGATGAACCTACCAGGTAAATTAATATGAATAAATTGTTTAGACTATGTAACGTTTTATCCTTTTTATAGTAAGCGATCAGGCGAGTCACCTGATGTACCGGGGTAAGTGACTATCTCCGCTCATGGACATCTACGACTCAAGAGGCACAAGTGAGTTGTCGCTCTTTGAGTCCTCCCGCCCCCCACAGAAATAGTGGGAGAAATAGAGCTCAACCGCAGTGATCCTTTCGGAAACTAGGGTGGTGTTGAGCATTTCTTGCTTCGTTCCTTTTCACCGAGTAAGGGCGGTTATCGTAGCCCAAAAAATAAATTGAGTAACTCAAATGCCGCACTCGTGATTCTTGAGCTGCAGCTATCCATGTGCGACAACAGTTACTTACCATCAGGTTGCCTATCTGCTCGTTTGCCCCTATATCAGTAAAAAGTTATTACCGCTTTAGTAGACAATAATTTAAGAAAGTACAAAAAAATTTGAAGTACTAAAATTTATAACACGGAATATTAAATTCTAAGCTTATTTTTGTTACATTAAGTGGTTGATATCTGTCATTCGAGTTATCAAGCTCAGCCCATCAAAAGTAAATAAGGTGATCCTTAATATGAATGATATATATATAAACTCGGTTTTAAAAATAACGGGTCAGTCACATAAACCCGAATATCTCCCGAACTACGTATGCCATCCTAATGAAACGAAGACTGTTCAATTGAGAATTTAATTATACAGATAAAAAACAAAATAAAACTTAAATCTAAACTCTCTAACTCTTAACTTATCTCTAAATAAAAAAAAACTAAAGTAGTCATATCTTTCTTAAGATTACATTTTTTTATGATTGTTTTTTTGCTGTTTTTCATCACTTTCTTCATTTAATACTTTGTATTGCCTCCACGAGCTCTTCTGATAGCTTCCAGGCGATTAGGCATGCTGTACACCAAATTTTGGAGCCGGTGCTGAGGAATACCTTCCCATTCCTCCACCAGTGCTTGTTTGAGTTCGGGAAGCGTGATTGGTGAGGGGTTTCGACCTTTCACGCATCTCTGTAGCTCGTCCCAGGCGTGCTCGATGGGGTTTAAGTCCGGGCTTCGCGCTGGCCACTGCATGAGTTCGATACCGACCTCTTCAAGGTAGTCATGTAAAATTCTGGCGGTATGGGGACGCGCATTATCATGCATTAATATGCCATGCCGGTCCATCCTGGCCATGAAAGGACCTACATGTTCATTGAGGATCTCTTCCACGTACCTCTCTGCATTTAGAGTTCCATTTTGAATGAGTACCAGCTCGGTGCGGGCCTCTGTAGGAATCCCAGCCCAAACTTGTACGGAGCCTCCACACACGCTTGATGGAAGCGCTCCCCTGGTCTTCTGTACACCAACTGCCTACCATCATGCTTATAAAGCATGAATTTAGACTCGTCCGTTAACATTACCCTAGACCAATCGTCTAGTGTCCAGTTTAGGTGCTCGCGCACGTATCTCTATCTTGCAATTCGATGTCCCCGTTCCAGTTTGGGGCCATTTGCGGGCCTCAATGATTTCAAATTTGCTTCAGCAAGACGTCTTCTTACTGTTTGAGTGCTTAAATTGCCACCTCCAAAGCGAATAAAGTAAGTTTTTAGACCAACAGCAGTTTGAAAACGATTTCGGAGCATTGTAGCCACCAGTTGTCTGTCTTCCCTGGCCGTTGTGCATCTTGGTCTGCCATTTCCTGGTCTTCTAAGGTGTGATCCGGTCTCTTGGTACCGCTGGACTACCCGCCAAACAGTCGACAAAGATACACCAATGTTTCTGGCTGTTTCACGCTGGCTCCGCCCAATTTCCAAAAAAGTTAGGATTCTGGTACATTCCTCTAGCGTGACTGCCATGCTTCACATCACAGAATAATAATTATGCACGTGGAAGACGTTCACGATATTTTTTTTTGTGACAGAATAGAAATGGAAAGCATCCATAATAAAATGAAACAAAAATTTTGTTTTTAAAAATAGTCATTTTTTTAAATTTTGTTTTTCTAATGAAGTTTTTTTCATCAACCAGTTTAAATAATATGCTATTAGAAGCGCAACTAAAAAGTCTTTATTCTGTTTTTTATTTCATTGATCTAACTTTTACAGTTCTGGAGGTATTTCAATTTTTGTGACTGACCCGTAAGTTTTGGAACCGAGTGTATATATATATCATTACACATTATACATTAGGTACAAGTTTATAGTTTATTGTCGTCGGTTCATTGTTATGTATTGCTTTGCTATGTAATATTTAATTATTTTTTTATATAAATTATGGAATATTAAGGCTAATATAATATAAATAATGATATTTTTTATTGCTGTAACCGACTTCGCATAAAGAAGTAATTTCTACGTTTAGCTATAAGCATCTTTTTTGAGTTCGGTCCTTAACAAAATGAAAAACTAGCGTTAATCGGCTCCTTTCCTTTCCATCTATTTACTTGTCTGTCTGCCAAAATCAAGCCAAATGTTACAAGTTGAAATAAAGGTCAAAAAATTCTTTACACATCCGCTGTACAAATTTGCACGCATGTCGCTGTCATTCGAATTTTAAAAAGGCTGTACGTTTGAAAATTGAAGTCTAAATAAAATAAAAATCGAAAATAGAAATCGAATACACTAAATAAAATAAAAACCAGATATTATATCTATAAACAGATAGCACGCAGCGCTGCCCTGTGATTCAGTAAAATAATATATGCTGTTGCTATGACTACCGATGCTATCAATAATTTGTGATATCACGTAACAATGACAATCTGTCATAGTTACGTTGATTTTGTAGTATATCATGCCAGTGATCGGCAGACTCACAGTAATTTACAATGTTGATGCTAGGTATACTGTTACACCTGCCGTAGGTGAAATGGGGATATCCCCTCGCGGGCTCTCTGTCTACCGTTAATCTATCAACATCGAATTTTCATTAAATAAAATTCGATCATGATAGATATTGAAACACTCTTTCAAGTTTAATGAATTCATTTTTCGAGATTTGCTCCATACACATGCAGAAGTTTATTTACATATATTTATTTATTTATTCATTGCCCATCGAGTAACAAAACTCATAGTATTAGTAACAATTTGACTTATAACTATGTTAGTAAATATTAAATAAATAAAAAACACAACGAACACAATGAGATGAACCGATACCTAACATGGCACATAGATATTGTGCTGCAATTCCAGCAGAAAGCCTGCAACAAAGGGTTCACGATCGCGCAATCCATTCGGCTAGAGATTCAGATATCTCCATCAAGACGTAGATTCTAGAAATATTGAAATAAAATGAAACATTTGGAAGATATCATCGTCTTTCATCACTATTATCATGTATTTTAAAATACAGATAACATATTTTCACTAATACACACATACAACTTTATCGAAGATAGCAGATAACATGAGTACGTTGACCTTGTGATTCAATATTACATTGTTGTTATATCCGCAATAAGTACTCAGCACTGATACCTTATTATAGGTACCTGAATGGATTAATGACAATAATGTTGTCGGCAATATATTCTACTTTTTGTTCATAATTTAAATACTTTGTTTAACATGCTAACTAAATGTTTTACATAACTTATTGCCTGTACACTTATATGATATGTTTCTATTCAGTATATAGTTTCGAGGCAGGCAATGTTTTCATTTTTTAGGTTTTGTTCGAATGAGATTATTTCATTGTTATCATCATCATCATCTGGCCCTTTTTTAAATTCTATTTGGAATCAGCCTAGTGTGTGAGAATATAGATAGTTTTTTTGTTTTATTTATTCCACAACTGACTTCAAGCCTTCTTGGGTATGTAATCGTATTTAGATGTGAAAAACGAGACAGGTCTATGCCATTTCTTACTGGCTATGCCTGAAGCTCAAAGAAGCAGTGGTCTCGTGTTTATATGTCCATCTTGTAATTGGAGGGGGCACTTACTTGGCGTTAATTTTAGTTTCCAGAAGTACGTAAAACACATACATAATATACATAAAATCACCTTCAACCTTAATTCAAAACTCATTTCATCATAGAGATCAAATATACTGGTACTAGTATACTATAATTATAAAAAAACAGATCTTCCGAATTTCATCGCTATCTCAAGCATTAAACAAACTCTTCTACACGAGTCGCCCTTAATAATTCACATCAAAAACAAAAACTGAGACCCACAAGTATTTAAAAATCGGTCGGAGGGCTTCCGTCAGCAAAGATGTTTATTTAGTTTGAGTTATTGTTTATAAAAAGCATACTGCTGTATACTTTGACCATCGAGCACATTTAACTAACACGTGATGTAAACAAGTACAGCGGCCAGTGCTTGATGTTAACCTCCGGACTACATTGGACGGAACCATAGATAAAAATAAAATACAAACGAAATCAAAAAGGAACAATCTAACATTATAAGCAGAGAAGATCTATGTATATTGAGAATAGACTTTACGCATAAAGCTAAGTTTAATAAAAGAACTTAATAACTGAGATTCGTTATTACAGAATATAAGAAACTTTTCCTACTACGACATATCTTAGCTTATCAACATACATACTGGACAAATGTTGGGCAAAAACTAAAATATTGCAAAAAGGAACCAATTTAGCCCAACATCTAGAAAACGTCTTTTTTTCCTTGCATCAATCTAAATAAGGACGATGAAATTACAAACTACCTGCAGTCACCACCTAATTTTCGCTTACCCTTAAAGACAGTAAGCCCAGAAGAAATAACCTGAAAGATGAAACTTGGATTTACCTGGCTTAAATCTTAAAATCACATTCAACAAAATGCCTCCATATCAATACACTTACAATCTAAACTATTTTACACTATTGGGCAGGTTAGGACCTGCCCAATAGTGTAAAATACGTAATAGTGTAATCCATACGTTGAAAATCAAAAAGTTCTGTTTCCCTTGCCATGGCTCAGCCGGTGATCTCGCGTACCTCACTCATCGGTGGGCACAGTCTCAAGGTTTAAAGCAAAAGCTTTCGATTGTTTTTGGTACAAAGCGCTTTTCTTCAAGCTTTTTTCCTGGGTGGTTCCCGAGAAACTATGCAACTATGACATCAGTTTTCTTGCAGGCAGTCTCTGAGTCCGAGTCTGAAAATGCTGGTGTCCCCCCAGACTTTGAGCTTTCACAAGCACGGTTTCTTCGGCATATCAACGATTATGTTGCAAATGATTAGATTTCATTGCTATGCAGGTGATAGTATAGATGATGCCTTTTATGCTGGCCGCGCCAACATTTATTGGAAAAATGACATCAAGAGCCCCAGCACCTCCTTCTGGATCGCATCGATGGCCAAAATGCTTCCGATTCCAGCCCGTTTGGTGACGGCATACTGATTTTAAAACTAAAGCGGCATGATATTGACATGCATAATTTGTTAGCTATCGGTAGAAAAGTAACAGTTGTCCATTATAAAGAATAACATATACTTTACTCAATTGATCTAAAGAAAATACAATAAATACTTGGCAATATCGTTTCGAATTCATTCTTTTGCAATAAGCCTACATAGGTTCCTATAACAATAATCTTAAATACCATCTATTCAAATACGTTTATAAATAGAGTATTGTTTTTTTCCAGTGGCCTGGATAGCTCAATATCGAAGCAAATAGTATATATACTTCACTTTTTAGCACGGCAAGGGCGGACGGTGGTGGTGACAATGCATCAGCCGTCCGCCACCCTGCTACGAATGGTGGATAGGCTGTATGCCGTAGTGGGAGGACAATGTGCATATGTCGGAGCAGAAACTCAGCTACGGCCATGTCTTGAAGAAATGAATCTAAAGTGCCCGGCGTTCCACAATCCTGTGGATTTTCGTAAGCGATTTTAATTATCTATTATGATATACTCCACAAACTTTAAGAAGTGTAAAAAAATTATGAGCGTTGTTCAAAAAGTGCGATAAATAAATAGAGAGAACTTAAGATAGCGTAGGTGCTTTAAAACAATATCAAAAGTATTTAAGTTGCAAGCATTCTGAGTTTGTTGGTTCAGGTCAAATTATGGTAGTTAAAATAGCGAAATGCTGCTATTACCGTGACCGCTACTTCCTTAAACTGTTAAGTGGAGCTAAGAATTCAAACTCCCAACGTTAAAACACGGCTAATATAGCTAGTTAAAAGGTTATTGTAAATCATAAGTGAAACATAAAATAATTGCAATATTGCAAAATTTTATGACTTGTATTATTATAATAGTACATTGGTACAATAATACATTACAAAAGTTTAATTTGTAAACTTACAATTTGATCATACTCATACATAATATGTTTTAGATCGTATTTATTAAAACATATATTTTATAAATATCATACATAGCATATATGCGTATTTGTAATGGTAGACAATGCCAGTAAGCCATGCCAGATGCCATTAAAGAAATTAATAGAAGTTTTCATTGCCAGTCAGGCAATAAATATTATTGAGAGAGTTTTGACGTTCTCAAATTGTTAATATGGTTTATCTATATATATATTTATATATATAAGAGATTTCCACGTATATAGTCACCCATCACGATATCCCTGGAACCATTAGAGCTAAAGACTTGAAATTTGGTAGGAATATTCTTTTCACCGAGTAGAGGTCAGCTAAGAACGGATTTTAAGAAATTCAAAACAACGTTTGCAGGGTCAGCTAGTATTATATAAATGAAAACAAACGAGCCTAATAGTTATCGCATATGATGGGTAATATATGATATCTCACTATTACTACTACTACCATCTAACGGCCTTCCCCATCATCTTTTATTTTATTTTTTAATTATTCCTTCAAAGTGTAAACAAATTAATAAGAGAAATTTGATATACAAAGCATTACCTACCTACTTCCTTCCCCTTTCACGATATTAGTCCCGTGCAGGAAAGCAATAGGGAAGATGTTACACAATAAAAGTTAAAATGTTAAATATGCGTAATAAGTCATGACTTACAATATAGATATACTTGTAACTGGCCTAGTTCTAGACAAGTTTCCGTTCTGGGCAGGCGTCGATCGCGGGCATCAGTGTAGTAAATATTACTTAGTATAGACGCCGACTAGTCTTTGCTTGTCTTAGCCATATAACATATAACCTATATGTACTGTGGTAATGGTAATCTTTTAAAATAGTTTTCACCAACCGATAGACAAAACAATAGATGATATACAAAAATAAATTTTATTAACAAAACGAACTAAAAATGATGTGCATTAGTTTTTTTTTTTTAAATTAAGAGTTTAATTTGTTTTTCTTTATCTTAAGATGTGTATTACATCATTACTTTTTGCCTACCATGCCTCATTTACGGAAAGGACTTTAAGGATTAGCTGACAAAACTCAGAGTATATTGAAAAAGGCAAGGCTAGAAAAGGGATAATGCTTATACGGGTGGATCGGCGGAAAGTTATAAATAGCGTGAAAAGATCAAGGTCGCACACTTGCTTATAAACATGTGAAATACTTAACTACATTACTGGCACAGCTGACAGAGGCTTTTAATAGGTTCTAATAAAACCATGTGAAGTAAGCTAAAAAAAAGACGAAGATTATGAAAAGATTTTATCGATATAATGAATATCGGCATTGTTGTTACGACATGCATGTCTTTAATGAATGTTTGATATAACATAACACACTCCTTAGGATGTATAAGTAACATCTACATTTATCTATATGTCAGTGATGTCATTTTTTTCCAGTAATAGAAATATCTGCAGAAAACTCGGACATGCTGATTCGAGAATCGGAAAATGGAAGAAATACGAGATGGATGAGTAACACACTTAGAGATAGTGACAACAATATAACAGGCAAGTATATAGAAAAAACAGGAGTAAAATTATGAAATGTAATGTCGTACGTGCCCTACAATATCTATTTTTTAGACTATTGCGACTTCTGCTCGTGTTAGAAATGTAAATCAGGTCCTGATTGAGATAATATTTATGATACAACATCTTTTTGGTTAGAAGATGCCTTTTATAATACGATTAGTGTAATTCCTGATTTTCACGCCATAATATGATTTGTGCTTGAGATAAAAACCTATTAAAATGTGTGATAATTGACGTCAGTACCAGTTTCGTACGCATTTGATTTGGAATCCTATAGCTATTCTAAATTATTCCCTAAATTATCATGTTGATGTACTAAACATCAGTTTTAGTCTTAGAATGAAAGAACCCGGAAATTAGTGGGTTGCTTTTTTTCCACATACCTTGGAAACACCTACAATACATTACACACTAACTCAAACTCAAACTCAAACTCAAACTCAAACTTTCTTTATTTCATAAAATTTCCAAAATTGTTTGAAATCGACGAAAATTGTTTGAATTCACAGACTCTTCAATTTTATTTATTTGTTTTGGTTTAATTCTTATTTCAGTTGAATATAAGCCAGGCGAGGAGGTATCCCTCACGATGCTACCAGCCCCCAAGGAAGATTTTACGAGGAAAACCCTGCTAGCGATAAAGAGCACATACTCGACATCTTTTTGGAAACAGTTTACGATTCTCACTCGAAGATCTCTATGGGTAAATGCACAATTTTCTTAATCAACATATGTAAAAAAACTTATGATAACAGTACTTTCATACCCAAAATAAAATATTTGTAAATAAAATTAGTTAGTTATGCTTTAACGCTGTAACTGCTCAAAACTACATGATATTATTTTTTTGTATACGAATGTTGGGGGTGCTGAAACGGATTCTATTTCAAACATACATAAAGTCAAAACCCAAATTATATTTGTTTTTACACGATCTATAGTCGTATACCTCGCAGGCAGGAAGCGCTCAACTTAAGGATTAGCTTAATAAATTTAAACCCAGAATATAATATACAGGGTTACTGGGCAAGTCGGCTTAAATACTTTAAGGGGTTGTAGTGGTGAACACAACCATTTTTAGGATATTGACTTTTATGATTTTCTGGGGATCTAGATACATAATCTGAATGGCAGAAACAGCTTCAACGATTTTCATGAAATTAGTATGCTTTCAGGGGTGATTAATCGATCTAGCTAGGTTTATTTTTAGAAAATTTACTAGAACAAAAATACCGATATTATTAAATATATATGTTATATAAGTATAAAATATAAGTATAAGCCAATAAATAGTGTTAATATTTCCATTATTTTATTTACAGACAATTTGGCGAGATCCATGGTTCGCTTTAACGTTTGCATCAATCCACTGTGGCATGGCACTCCTTGTAGGCACATTATACTATAAGATTGGCAACGATGGGTTTTATGCCTTAGATACAGTAAAATTTTTACAATTTTGCCTCTTGTTCCTCATGTTTACCTCGTTTAGTGCTATAAGTATAAGATGTAAGTATATTTTACTTGACATTACATAAATGTTTAATCCTCCTCCTGCTCCTCCTCCTGCTCCTCCTCCTTCGAACTACCTGCGCTGTTTTGTTGATTGTTGGAAAGACAATAATAAATTTAGCACTCATGCTTTTAATGTAATAATAAACAGTCTTTAGTAAATCCTCACTGGTGAGTGTATTTTAAATAATTGCATTTCATTTATTTTTAAATTTTGAGACTGTCAATGTGTTATTTTCCTTCATACCTTACGTTTTATCTTTTTTCTAATAATAATACACATTAAATATTATAAAAAAAGTAAAAAATTGTCAACCACTTGTAATATAGCACAGTATCAACACTTAGAAATATTAGCTCTGTCACAACTAAATAATACATAGTTGAAAGGGATTCTTCTTTGCTTGAAATTGCACAATGAAAGTAGCTTAACAATTTTTCAATTCATCGTGAGAGAGCCATGCTTTGGCACATATCACAGTGATTCGTGTAGAAAAACTTAGCAGGATAAAATTAGTTATTTTGTTATTTTTTCAAAAAGAACTTGAGTATAGATTTATGTCTCTCAATATTTTTTAGAAGACGATTAATGATAATAATAATATTCTACCACAACACGCCACAACGCCATCTAATCCCAAACTTAGCAGAGCTTGTACTATGAGTACAAGACAACTGATATAAATAATAGGTCTTTACCTATGAAATTGCCGTTTTGTAGCTGATTTTTACAAGAAGGGCATCAATAAACTGCCAAAGCGTTGGCAAAGATGCGTCGATTGCATGGGTGATTACTTCGAATAACAGAAATAAAAAGTTTGAAAAAATAAGTACTTTCACTTATTGCATACAAAACGGCAATTTCATACGTAAAGACCTAATACTTATATACTTATTTTTGTTAATACACCCAAACCAAATGTAACATAAAATTTCCATGCACACAAATGTTTGACTTGAGAGGGAATCGAACCCGCGATTTTTGGAATAACAATCCGTTACACAAACCACTACGCCATCCGGTCGTCAAATTCATTGTTAGAAGTTGTATTTTTTAAAAAGCTTCAGAAATAATGTGCATACTTAATGTATGAACAATTTAAATAAAATGTACATTTAAAAAACATGTAAAAACCAATAAGTTGAATCAAAACACAACAATTATGTTTATCTGTCCCTCATGATCATCACTGTCAATAAATCGTCCATAGAATAGTTATGATCATGAGTGGAAGAACTATGAAAACTTATTATCTCTACATCTTGTTATACAGCTAGGTTGAATAATTAAATCTAGGACTTCAGAAGGGAGCGTACCAATTTTTTTCAGGGCATTTCTCTTAGTCATTTTTCACAGAGTCTGATTAATAACTACAGTTACTAATTACATGCAAAGTAAACCTCTATTCGTAGTTACTCGCGATCGCTTTTGTGTGTGGTATTCACAAAATCGTCTGCAGTCCTTCTTCCGAGCTTTCTGTGCTTCCTCGGACAGCTGGCATATAGGCAGAAGTAAAAATCTTCGTGCTGTATTGCCATCATTCATGTTGCCGAATACCGGTTTAAAATAAAAATAAAATAAAATATGCCAGTTGCTGCTGCTTACTTTTGAGAATCATATACAATAGATTTTACAGAGTAAAGATGTAAATTTTTGTCCATGTCCAAAAAGGGGAACTGCTTTAAAAAAACTACTTCCCTTTATGTTCATAATCCATGGTAGAAACACTTACACAAGTTTTATTGACATAAACAACATTATCAAATGAATATCGATATTTTATATACATACCCTAATGATGCTCCTAATGAGGGTAGTGCCGAAAAATTATAGCTGTATATTACATATATATTAACTAATACATTAACTAATACTACCATGTATTAACTAATACATTAACTAATTGCTACCAAGAATTTGTTGGTCATTTTTGTCCAGCTAACTTGTTATAAGCAAATCACTGTGCATGTGGGCTGTCTCGGCTGGAGTGATACCACGGCCTCACCGATTACCCGGTACAACCAATTCTTTCATTGCTTTTCACAGAGTGTAACGAACCCCACGACTCTGGAAGAAGGGGGGCACTCAAAGGGCCGTAACGCACTCTGAACTCACTCACTCACTCACTGAACTCACTCAACTTAGTCGCAGATATCTATGGTCGGCGGTACTTACTTACCCGTTTTTTACGGAAAACGCAGGGCGTGTGTGGATTCCCGGAGAACCGGCCTACCCACTAAACCTCGCGGAGGCCTACCTCGGCAGTCGGAAGGAGCTCCAGGAACGCATCGACGTACTCCTCCCTGCCGTGTCCCATATCATGCCGTGGCACATCCCGGGGTGACCGTAGTCACCCTGGCGCGGGAAGCTACCGCGCCTCTCACTGCTCTACACAGTAAGAGAGGTGCAACAGCGCCTCGCCTTGGATGACACCTCCCGGCCGCACCGGAGTGTCATCTGTCTCGGGTCGTTTGCAGCGGCCACATGGCCCCAAGATGTGGCCGGAGCGACCCTTAGACGGCGAAATAGGGAGCTAGCAACCTCTGCTTGCCCCCTATGCCTTAAAAAAAAACAGTTGCACTCCGGAAGTGCCGACAGAAGTGAAAACCTATATACTTAGATATGCAGAGGTGTCGGTAACAGTAACAGTATCGCGAGTTCAATGCTTTTTTCCCCATCTCAAAATAAAAATATATTCTTTTGTTTGTTGTTCAAAACTGTCCAATGCGCCTAGAGAAGTTTTCAAGTTTTCACACCACATACATACGTACATAATTCTAAAGAGGTAGTCACCAGATAACAAATACATACATACATATTATAAATAAATTACACCCAGATACAGCAAAAAATTTTTTCTCATCACACAATTGTTTGTTCTGAGCGGGAATCGAACCCACGAACTCTGGCTTAATAGTCAGGATCAACAACCAGAGTCAGCAGACCATTTTGTTAACTTTTATGCTGTGGTGTTAAGTTATATTTTTCTACATGATTAATTTGTTTGTTCTAGTCCCCCAAGAAATACCGGTAATTCGTCGGGAGCACTTCAATCGGTGGTATTCTGCAGGAGCTTACTACATGTCGACTATAATATCAGTTGTACCACTGCAGACAATTTGCACGCTCTTGTTTGCGTTCATTACTTACTTTTTAACTACTCAGCCCGTAGACTTCGTTAGAATATGCAACTTCTGCTTTATTTTGCTTATGGTGAGCTATGTTTCGCTCTGTAAGGGCTTGCTGATTGGAGCGATATTTAATGTTAAGGTTAGTATAAACATTTATACAAAAAATACATAAAAAAATATTCACGTAGGCAGTATTTAATGTGTATTAGCATTAGTAGATTTTTTTCGGTAAGGTAATAGTTTCAGTTTGAGAACGATTACCGCAATGTTGTTATAATATGAACAACACACTTGTAATATCAGTAGCACGACACGTTCACTCAACTCTGTCCAGCTGTAATTCTGAGTTGTGTATTGGCGTGTAAATGGACTAAGCGACTCAACTTTCAGAATTTACGAGAATATACTTTTAAGTATTTTAATTTAAATTACGACAGTTTTAACCGTTCAGAATCTTGGCTCTTGTCTGATGTGTTAGACTTTTAATATTATAATTATCAATAATTAATCCCTACCTTTATTTTGTATTTCAGAATGGAGTAATAATGGGTCCATTTTTCATAATGCCGTTCGTTATGTTTTCTGGAAACTTTATAAAAACACAAGATGTGCCTGCCCTCTTCAATTGGATCTTACAAATTTCATTCCTTAAACATGGGTTTGTCGGTCTGCTGTTGTCAGTATTCGGGAGTGAACGACCTAACCTGAATTGTGAGGATCATATCTATTGTCACTTCAAAGTTCCCAAGACAATACTAAAGGAATACGGCGCATTGAAAGAAGATTATGTGTCATTGGTAATAGCACTATTTGGAATTGGGTCGACGGTTGCAATTATAGCGTTCATAATATTAAAAATCAGATTGAGAAATAAGTGGTAATATGAGAGACAACATTACATGACAAGAAACCTAGTCAAGTAAAAGAATTCATATGTTATAATGTAAAACGCTCTTAAACATTTCCAGAGATTCCTAAACTAATATATTAAGAATCAATTAACGAAATAAGACTTTTAGAATAATAGCATACCCCATCATGAAAAGGCTTTATCCCAAACTTGTCAAAAACATAGATGAATAGTTACGGGTATTCTAAATTCTACTAACACTCATGTTTTAATGTATACACATGATGTTAAGGTTTTAAGTATTGTAGGATTAATTTATTTCTATAAGTTGTTTATATTGTAACCAACCGGGGAGGTAGGTAGGAGTTAAAGAAAATAATGTAAATACTGTTATTTTAGAAAACATATTTGGTGTGTTTTATATTATTTAAGTATGCATTTCTTAAGGGTTTTGTAGAAAATTTTCAATTACAATAATCATATAGGTATGATTAAAACATGGGTTCCAAGCAATGCATAAAATGATCGTATTATTTACTATTCACAATGCTATCCGCCTCGTAATATATTGTCTGTATGTATGTATGTCTGTGTATATACTTGGACTTAACAACTTTACATAAAGTTATAAAAGTATGTACATGTAATAATATTATACAGGGTTACTGGGTAAGTTGATTTAGATATTTTAAGGGGTTGTTGTAGTCATCATTTCTGATAGATTTCACTCTGAAATACCAAACCTAAACCTAACCATTGTCAAGATATTGGATTAGATTTTTTTATGAAAATTGCAAAAATTTTGGCTGATTAATTTTTTTTAGAACTTATTTCTTTTATGTTATGATTTTTATACTGTTTAGTGTAGTTGATACATTGTTTTATAATTTCCATGTTTGAAACTGTAGTTAATTTAATAAACTGTGCCGAAGTGGGTGGTTAATAAGACTAAAAAGAAATAAATTAGTAGAATTGGAGCCGGTGTCTCTAAGTTGTCGATAGGCTCTGTCCAACACAATTGTTATTGTGTTGGACATAGCCTATGTTTCCGGAACGCGACGGCCGGCATAGCGTGCTTTGTATTCATCCAGGAGCCCGTGCGGATACGCATTGGCAGTATCCGTAAGAAATCAATATATGAACATATTCCTCGTTTAAATAAGTATTTATCTAACACAGTTTCAGAAGCGTATATTAAAATATAGTTAGTCACGAATAGAAAACGAAACAGTTCAAAAATACAAACCAAGTTTTCAACTAGGTACTACTGGGTTGTACGCTAATTCTTAATACTCCCGGTCTTTCATTTAAGTTTTCCTATGAATTCTGATACTATCCTATACTATTATACCTTGTTAGATATCTGACAACATGTACATGTTTTTTTACAAATCTGCAGTTTAACTTTCATAGTTTTTTTTATTCGTCCAAGGATAATTTATTTTACAAATCTATTTCTTTTTGTTATTATTAACCATCTCAGTTTATTAAATTGACTACAATTTTCGTCATGTAAATTTAAAACAATGTTACAACTACACAAAACGCATTAAATAAAGGGAAGAAGTTCTTAAAAAATTCAATTAGCCAAAATGCCGGCTAAATTAAAAAAACCTCATCGACAGCCTTTAACAGTCCACTGCTGGACATAAGCATCTCCTTAGAAAGGAGATTTTGGCCTACTATATCACGCTGGCCAGACGGGTTGGTATAGGGGTTGTGTCAAGTTTTCTTTCTCTCTGCAGTGCTGTTGTTCTGCGTAGTTTTCTCCCTTAGTCCTTTTTTGTCGTCTATTAGAGAGGATCTCACGCTAACGGCCGTCATACGACCCGTATAGCCGGCGCCTGTGGAGTCGCGCTTACTAGCGCCTGAGTGTGGCCACGGGCGGTTTTCCCCTCCACCGCCATAACGGCCAGCCGCAAGGGGGCGGACGTCCGCGTGTGACGGACGTTGTCTAAATAGACAACTTAACCGAAGGTGGTTCCCGCGACGTTGCGGGCAGGCGCTAGGAGGGATCCGGATGTCTTAATAACAGCAATTCCCGGATCCCTCCTATTACAGGCGCAGAGCGGCACACCGTGTGGTTTTAGTCGGTCCCATTCCCACACACTACCCCGCCGCAAAACTCGGTTGGGTACGCGCTTGGTATCGCAGATTTTCTTAATGAAAGGCTGACAACGCGCTTGTCGCGTTGCAAGCGTTCATGGGCGGCGGTAGTCGCTTTCCCGTCTGTTCGATTGCCCCCTATTCCATAAAAATAAATAAAGACCAACCAGACCAATTACGTACGCAAACTTATCAACTACTTATTAAAGCATTCAAAATAATAATATCATTTCTGCGCACCCCACTTTGGCTCGTTTGCTATTTGGCTTGGCACCGACTTCAAACAGACTAGAAGGTATCTATCTGTTTTAATGTTACCGTGATATTGAGGGTCGCATTTATTTTACTATTTTAACTTAGATTTGTAATTATTCTTAGTGCTCCTTTTTAGTATTGTTTGAAGTCGGTTTAACTTTCTTATTTAAAGTGGTTATTTTTGATATCTTTCATTTAATAAGGCCCTGTAAACCAAATACATCTCAGCACAAGGTTGTGTTCTGATTACACGATATTGAGGAAAATTGTGGTCTTACGGATGTAGTGGCTTAATATCGTCTAGATAATAACATATCGTAACATTCACCTCACTGAAAGGTAAAATCTTCATGTACGAGTATTTTATTGCAAAAGTCTGTTATATAATCGACACAATCATGTTCCATAGTTAAACGTTTCTTCATATGTACTACCCAAACATTAATAAATAAGCGTATTGACTAGCGCCACAGCTACGACAAAAAGGATAATAATTATAATAATAACTTGCTACATCTCTTTCACACACGGACGCCTGATCCTAAACAAGGCAGAAACTCTACCAGTCTGCTGATAAACATACTTGCAAATTTTTAAACATAAAACTTGCTGATGGTGTTTGTTGACCTAGAAAAGACTTATGATAGGGTACCCCGAGAAGTTTTGTGGTGTGTTCTGGAAGAAGCAAGAAGGCCTGCTAAGTATGTAGAGGATTGATTCGTGTTACGTACAAAGAGTCTAGCTTAGCTTGCTTAGTTAGCTTTTCATGTTAGTTCAGTTTTCAAGTACCTAAAATAATGACGAAATATATAGTTTGTACAACATTGAATCAATACAGGATGGATGAAATGGAGGCAGATAACAGGAACTATTTGCGATCCCAAGTTCACTTTTAAATTAAAGGGACAAATACAGAAATTATACCTGCCATCCTACATGGATCTGAGTGTTAGCCAACAAAGAAAACGCATGAGAGACGCCTGCATGTATCTGAAATGCAAATGTTAGCAGGGAAAGAAAACTCAATAAATTTGAAAATTATAATATGATGATACTATCTGTGCTAATATTATAACAAGGTAAAGTTTGTGAGTTAGTATGTCGGGATAATCTTAGGAACTACTGGATCGATTTGAAAAATTCTTTTAGTGTTGGATAGCACTTTTATCGAGGAAAGTTATAGGTTAATATATGCTATAAAACATCATACTACAAGCAATAAGAGCCAAGGGTTAATGAAAAATATTGCGAAAATAGATATATTATTATATGCAATGCGATAGATATACGCTGGATATACCTACGTCATGTAGAGATTAGAATGAGTGAGTTCAGTAAATACAACTCTTAAACAGTTACTCGCTTTTTGCTAGACAATTTAAGGGTTGTGTTGTGTTAAAAATAAATGTGTTGTATGTCTACACATAATATGTGTAGAAATACAACACATTTATTTTTTGAAATTATTTCTTTATTTGTGCTGTAAGACATTTCTTTTTGCCAAATTTCGTAATACTAGGTGAACGGGAACCCTATACGGGTACCCTATAGGTTTTCGACCCAAAACCTATAGGGTACTTCCGGTTGACCTAGAATTGACAATTTTGGTTAAAAGCAAGGTCTTACAGCACAAGTAAAGAGAAAATGACAAATAAAAAAAGTTGAAAATTAAGGTAAATTTTGGTTTGTTGGCGAAAATCGAAATTTGCCCATATCTTTTTATCGTGTTGACTCAGGACCTTGATTTTTATACACCTAATAGGGACTATAGACCTCAGTATCTGGTATAAATATTAACTTGCTAGGTCTACCCGTTCTTGAGAAAATCGGTGGTGACACACGGAAAGACGGTTCATATTTTACCTTTTGAGGTACGGAACCCTAATTAAAGTAATAATTGTCGTAATATTGCAAACCGCTATGGCACAACGAATTTACGAGTATTTTTACTTAGCATAAAGCCCCTGTACGCTTTGATCATCTAAACTACGCAACGGATTTTAATTCGGTTTTCGTTAATAGAGAGTTATTCAAGATTAAGGTTTTAATATATAATACATGCATATTATAGTAGAGGAAAGCCGAGAATCTCCAAGATTTATAAAACGATGTCTTAAAAAATATTAAATACGTTCCCCGAAAAAATAGCTGTATATGTAGATATTCTGTAGTAAAATCATAATAATTAAATTATTAATAACTCGACACTGACACCACATTAATATCTACATTGCACCCGGGCGAAGCCGGGACGGGTCGCTAGTTTGTGTGTGTGGATTGTTTTCTCAGCTAGTAGTACCTAATGATTATGATATTTAAATTTTAAGAACCTAATCCGAATTAAAGAAATAATCTTAACAAATCCATTATCATAATTACCAGAGATAAGTAAATATCCAATGATAATACTTAAGTGTGTATTTACGTACGGATAATGACACAAAGGAATGACAGTTTTAAACTAACAGTGCTACTGGTCGCGGCTCAGGAGTGTAAATACGCACATACTACACATGTGGTGTTGCGCTCTGTGATGTACGTTTACGACGACTGCGATCTCAATTTTTCAATTCCGCGCATAACATCATAATCAGATAATCAGTGTCGTCCGTTCTTTTTTTTTAATATTTTAATAAAATGAATGTGGAAATTGGCAAAGACGATATAAGTTATGAAGACACGAATTTAATTGTTTACACGGATGTGCTTCACAAGTCGAAAAGGAGTAGTGAGTACATTAATAGTAATATTTGTGTTATGTAGCCTGTTTTGTACTTTGTTTAGTGTAGTCTATGGAAACTGCTAGAAAAAACATTACAAAGTCTAAAACTTTTTGTATTTGAATTTCTTCACACTGCTACATTATGGTATTACAACGCAAAATACGGTTTGTGGTAACAATTTATACGATCACATCAAAATCACTTGTTCTACATAAATCGTTTGTTGTCCGCGGTAAAACAAGGAATACTACGGATGTTGTGGATCTATTCATTTAAAAGTAACTGCCTTATTGGCCAAAATTACCCAACACCGACTGAAACTATTTAAGTAGCCTAGATTCTCGTAATTTGCCGTGCATCATATGCATGGTGAAAAGCGAGCGATTTATCATAATAGTGTTAGATGGGTAAGAAACCTATAAAAAGGTACCGAAACTCGTATGACTTTAGGCGATTGGACACCATAACGATCACATCATAGCGTCGCGATAAAAAAATTATGATGGTAAAATTTAAAAATTAGAAACGTAAGGAATTAATCATTTTTGTAAGATTCAATTATTTCTTTGAGTCTTGCAAATGATATTTCGTAATTTATTTTCTGAATCTTTGGCCCTCATTAGATTTCTACCTAATGAGGGCCAAAGATTCAGAAAACAAATTACGAAATTATGAACTACATTGTAGAGATAACATAAGCATTTCCTAGTTTACAATTGTGTAGATATTGTACAATATACATATCTATTATACCATTAACAGTTATCTCTCGTGTTCAGTAATAACAAGCTGTCCTTTAACCTCTGACTGTAGAGTCAATTAGTAAGCCTTTTTCCTATAAATTTAAAAAATAATCCAATAATACTAGAAGTACTATAACGGTTACAGTACAATTTGAATCCTTATTTTAAAACTAGTTAGAGAGCTCGGACTTTCGGGAAAAAGCCAATTCCAGTGATGTCATCTGCTCGAGCTATTGTTTACATTCCACAATACTCATTCATTAGTATACGCAATATCCATTTCTCACCTTTCCTTCCATCCTGATTTACTTTTTATTTAAATATGTTCCCGTCTAACCCCTAAGCTGTCCGGTTAACGACATTTGGCATATGACCCTGTTAAATGGGAACAAAATTATAGGTGGCAATATGTAGGCGATTGATACGCCTTTAAGAAGGCTATAGCCGTGAATTTATGTATGATGTAAAAGTAGAGTAAAGATGATGATGGACCTGGAGTGAAATTATTATTTACGCCAGTAAGGTTTGTGGCAACTTTCACATAAGGTGAAACAAAGAAACATACTACAGCGCTATCTATGGAAGAACTATGGAGTAACTCCTGAATGAGAATTGCTAATCCTGTATTGCGATATAAAGAATTCTCTCGCCGATTAGCATATTTACAACTTCCTAATGCATGCAGGCATGATCACCTCGTCTGGTCGGAGGATCCTCCCTGTGTGTTGGAGGGACATGACACCCGTTACCCCACAGTTTAATAAACTTAAAATATTATAAATACGCCGATGTTGATAAAAAAAAGTAGCGTAGATATACACTTCGGTACCTATACATAACAGTAGATCCAAATTTCAAGCTCTATTACGTATGATGTCTGTGACAAAACATTGCAAAAACTAGATAAATTAGAATAATTGCATAATAAACCTTTTTTCCTGTATTTTTTTTATTGTTTACTCGTAAGCCATTTTACAAATGTAAATAGGCCGGCTGTTCCCTACCACGAGCTATACTAATTAAAATCCCGCGCTGGCATAGCCTATGCTAATGACATAGGTTTTGAGGCTGACATTCCACATTTCATTGAATTCACATTAGGAATACGGAGTTTCACCACCCCTATTCATCCCGTGGGTGTCGTAAAAACCGACTAAGGGAGCAAACTTTGCAGAAAAGAAAAGGAAAACTTAAAACAAACCCTATACCAACCCGTCTGGCCAGCGTAGTATAGTAGGCAAAACCTCGTATAGGCTTTTGATGATGATGAAAGACAAACTATGTCCTACCCGTGTAGTTTTATTCAGCAGTTCAAAATACTGTTTGGGTGCTCTTTGTGTCCGTTTCATGTATGTTTGTAAAGTCCCTTTTTTTTTTTTTTTCCCCTCGGATACCACCTGTCGGTGGCATGTCGGACGCGAACCGACTAAAACCGCACGCCGTCTCGGGTATTAATAGCCGGGGAACCAGGTATACACTAGAAAGGAAGTCCCTGGTGCCCCGACATACCTCGGGTCATCTACAGACGAGTAGACGACCTCCCCCCGTGTGGGAACCCCATGTTCCCTGTGCTCCCTGGAAGCGAGCGCGCTTCGCAACGCGCTTGCCGCCACCCCGGCCTGCTTCTGCTAGGGTGACAGATGGCCTCACCTGTCACCCCCAGGCCTGCGCTTATGGAGGACGGAGGTCGTTCTGCGACCTCCGGCGCCTGAGTCGCCTACGCTGTCTGGCCCGTGCCCGGGCCTGGCGGGCCGGGAGAGTTCTAAACCTCTCCCGGTCCCGCTCCGCCGTCTCCTTCGCGAGCATAACTTGCTCGCAGAAGGAGACGGCAGAGTTCCACGCACTCTCGCTCCGCACGATAGCCGCAATCAGGCTATCGAGCGAGAGAACTCCCACTCCGATGGCCGCCACGAGGTCTCGCCTCTGCTCAACCCACGTCGGGCACTCTGCCAGCGTGTGGAGAGCCGTGTCCACGGTCTGGCCATCGCAGTGGTGGCACTCAGGCGTTGGCTCCTTGCGGATCAGACACAGGTGATCTCCGAAACATCCCTTCCCAGTGATCACCTGCGTCAATCGGTATGAGAGGGTCCCGTGACGCCTCTCGAGCCAATCCTCCATAACGGGTCTTACCGCCGCAATGACGGCGTGCCCAGCGCTCGGTTGCCCGAGTTGTTCCCTCCACTCCCCTATGATGACCTGGCGGAGTTGGGATTTCCGGTCATCGATTTTCATCGCCTGCGGTACCTAGCCCGTTCCCGGGCCTGGCGGGCCGGGAGAGTTCTAAACCTCTCCCGGTCCCGCTCCGCCGTCTCCTTTGTAAAGTCCCCTAGTTTGTAAAGACACAGGATATATACCTAATGCGGGAGTTGTCTTTTTAAAAAGACAAAAAAAGCATATTATAATTATTTATCATTCATGTTAAGTAGTAAAGAATTTAATGTGCATTAGCAATATAAGTGTAAAGACAAACAATCTATGGTTCTTTGCTAAATAACCTCGCGGTTACAGTCTTTGCAACGAAGTCCTAGTGGCGTATGTGACGTGTGTGGTGTGTGGTGTTTTTATTTTTCATTTTATTTAATGTCATTGCTACCCGAAAATGTTTACCAATGCAACAATGACCTGGAGGCAATGGTTCAAGCAATTGGTTTTAAATAGCTTCCTTGGTTTATTCCAAATTATCAACTCTCAAAAGGCAGCTGTTATTAAATGCTTATTCTCTGTTCTGTGAAATACAGTATCCTAGCAACTATTTTAACAAACTGGGTAGATTCTACCTTTTCTGTTAAAGAATATTTAGTGTATAGTAGGTAGGTACAGTAATGTCAGGACAACCAGATTTAACATATTAACGCAACCTCCGACGGAAGTAACGAGATAATTTATAAAATGTTCATTGAAGAGTGGCTCTTATGATAAAGGCGTGTTGACACGATCACAGACTGCAGGAAGTGCCTTAATAGCGGTGGTCTCGTTTTTACCCGACTGCGATTGAGTTCAAAATGAAGATTAGAAGTTCAATCTATATGTATTTGTGTCCATTCCTATGTTTCTAAATGAGGATACTTCTGTCTTCATGTTTTGAAATTTATTTTATAATCTAAATCTATTGAGTAGGCTATCGAAATACAAAATATTGTATGAAAAAAAAAAAAAAAAAAAAAATACAATGTAGACATGTGCACAAGGCGGCCATATCTTCGGTCGGTCAGGAGGTGTGGCAGAGTGTGGGGTTGTCTTTATTTATAGATCTGTGTAGCATTATATCGCAACCATAGAGGCGTAGCAAAGCATACTATGACCGTGTCAACGCGACTTTAACAAAATATGACCTCAAGTACCACAATGGTTCGAAAGGAACTCTTGCCAGTCGGACAGTCGCTTGCGCATGCTGTAAACGCGTTGCGCTCGAGCAACAAACTCTTAGAGCTCGAAAAATAAATTTTCTGTATTAAGCCGTATAATTTTAAGATGGATGTAGAAACTGGAATTGATGGCGATGATCATCAACTGAAAAGTGGCGTGTCTATATTTGCGGATGTGTATTACAAGATTCCAAATGGTGTGTATAAATAAATTTATTTGAAGTGAAAGTTAATCTAGTGGTACATGCACGCTTTGGACCGGTTGTTGATAGTTGTATTCTCACTATCTTATGTATTGTATACCTTTATTGATACAGTACAGAACAGATAAGTATAAAAATATTTTGAAGAGTACATTGAATACATTGAGTACATTGTCAAATATAGTAATTGTAAATAATAAAGCAATAATCAGATAATTTTAAAAACAAATTTTGTATCGACTCTTAATTAATTATTATTTTTAAGTATTTTTTCGTACATGTTTCATTATTTTGTAGAACCGTTGAGTTTGTGTCAGCGGTCAAAATACAAACGGCACAACCGTCTTAACTCCTATTGTAGCTTATTTATTTCCAAATAAACCGTCAGTATTTATATACAATATTTAAAACACAAAGCACGTTAGCAAAGTACTAAATTTCATGAAAGTGATTCAGATTTACAAGGATTGCTCCTTTAAAGGTATTAGATATTTTCAGGAACATATAAGTGTCAGCAATGGAAATAATAACTGGTCAAATAAATCAAAAATGCACCTTGCACCTAATTTTATGGTAGTCAACACATACATATAACAAAAAACAATTGCAAGCAAATTTTGCCCTGATTGGTCTTTCTCTGTAAACGTGTTGTTAGGCATCTATAAATGACGCTGATCATGAATATAAAAAATTAATTATACATTTTTTTTATTACTCATCGCATGATAAAAAATAGGTGCAAGCAATTTTCGACCTTTATGGGTCTTTATGCACAATGTCCAATTTCTTTTTTTATTTTCGTGATCGATATTTATAGACGCCAAAAGATACGTTTTTTAGAGAAATATATTTAAGGGCGTTTATTGCTTGCAATTGATTTTCCTTATCTGTATGTGTTGACATATTAAGGAAAACTACGTGGAAACAAAAAAATAGCGAACAAGGGCACAAAACTTATTATATTAATAGAAATGAATAAACTCATACTAATTTTAGTGTTATTTGAAGGTTTTGTAAGGCCGTATTAGTAAGGCCATATAATGTAGTTCGTTTAAGGCAGGATGGTATTAGATGTACGGGGAAATACTTCAGATAAATTATTTTTATTATTTACCACCAGACTAATTATTGAACATAATTCTAGAAGTAAATATTCCCTGGTAGTCCGGAGTTGTTACCAAAAGCTAAGATATTCATTTTACTTGTTTTTAGTATTTAAAATATTAACGATTAACATTTTAAACGTTCAACACACATTTACTTCAGCCTATAGCCGTTCACCGCTTAATGAAGGCCTCCCCCAAAGAGCACCAACCATCCCGGTCTGGGCAGTCCGCATCCATCCGCTGCCAGCCATTTTCCTAAAGTCGTCGGTCCATGTGCCGCAGGGCGTCCTACACTACGTTTGCCAGTCTAACACATGTCGGCTCCAGCTACTATCAGTCCGCCTGGAGACATGACCGACCCACTTCGGCTTCAGCGTACTGATTCTCTGTGCGATGTCGGTTACTCCAGTTCTCTGTCGAATTGTTACATTGAAACGCAACACTCATTTAAACGTTCGGAAGTAAATACACAGTAATACAATTAAAAATTGGTTACAATTCTGCATTAAATAAATTCAATTTTATTGATATTTGTTTGTAGCCTAATAATTTACGCTAACAGTAAATAAAATGTATTTTAATGGTCAGAACTTTTACTTGCGAGTGTATCTGCCCAACATTCGGTTTGCAGCTGACTTCATTGGCGCAGACTTGTATGGCGCGTATTGTAAATTACATTTTCCATTTTAACGATTATTCGTATAGAAGTGACTTTGAAGAGTTGCACCACTACGGTAAAGGACCTAACTACGTAACTTAAAACGAAGTCTAAAACAATCTAATGTAATTGTTGGTTATTTTGCTTTGTTTAAAAGATTTAAATTTAGTCATTAAGAATGGTACATCTTGTAATAAAATAGTAATAAAATTCCATGGTTTTACGAAAAAAGTTTATTTTAATCGTGTGAGTTACACCAATACAAAGTTGTTTCGGCTTAAAAAGCATGAAACATCAACCTCTTAGATTTAACTTATACGATAGATTTATTTCTATTTGGTCTTATATTATTGTTATTAGATGATAGTTGTTAGCACCTGTTAAATTATTTTTAATTAAAGTTGGTAAATTAGACCTAATAAAAAAATGAATATGTAAAACTACCCAAAAAATATATTCAAGCAGCTGATCATCCGTAATTTCTCGGGTAAATGTGCACCACACGCTACATATTACTATATAATATAGTTAATTTAAGGTTGCCTGGAAGAGATCGCAGACTGCGATAAGGTCGCTCATTGTTGCTCAATGAAGTGTATTGATAATTTATGGGAAAATGCTATTAAACGTATAATAAATACCTACATATTAATTTTTACATAAAATTACTAGAGATAAAAAAATACATTAGAGAGGTTATCATAAAGCTATTATTAAAATAACTAGTATTATAATCCAATCGACTTCACATTGCTTCTAACCGTCTAACCAAACTCTATATTCTGCTATTTTAAATCAAAAAATCAGAAGTCAAAATGATTGCAGACTTTACTTTGGACGTATGGGCCTTTGTACATCATTTTTAATACGCCGACGATGCATGGTTCATAAACGCGTGCTTACAGCGATGAAGATCACCAAACAACAGGTTGTCTTATTTGTATAGATTCAAACGCGCATACAAAACGTGCGCCTAAAGCTCGTCTGTATCGCGTTTCGTAACTCCGGTTTTAGGATCAAGAGATTACACTATAGAATACAGCCGATAGCAGTCTGAAGTTTTTCCCATCTTTTAATTTTGACCAATGTTTTAAAAGTTGTATTAAAATGACTTGTCCTTATTCGCCAAGAGTCGCAAGCACACTGCGTAAAACTACGTTCAAGAAAAGTGATCGATGTAGGCTCGTTATTCCATACTTGAACGAAGACGACGACGCGACGCCTAGAACGGCCACGCTCGTCCTCGGCTCGCCTAGCGTAAACCCACCTAAAGAAAATGTAAACATATTTATCTCCCCTTGAGTCTGTCCCAAACAAGAGCGGCGTGATGAAAAAATTGGTCCATCATATAATACTACCATCACAATAGCGTCATATATCGCATTCCATAATGGACTTGGACAATCTATTTTATTACCTACCCATAATTATAGTCATTGATGTAACGACATTATGTAATGACATAAATTACCTGATTAACACTGGTGGATTCATTAAGTACCTTGTTTGTTGCATACTCAACAAAGAGTATCTCGGATGCTTACCACTTGCACGTATTAAATATGATGAATGAATACACTGACAAAGTGGACAGAAAATGAGATTTTAGGATTTTTTTATTTAAGCTGACGTCCATGATTTCGTCCACTTCAAAATTATTTAAAAGCGTGACGGATTAAGAATACAGAATGTCACCACCCCTATTAATCCCGTGGGTGTCGTAAGAGCCGACTAAGGGAGAAAACTACGCAGAACAACAGCACTGCAGAGAGAAGGAAAACTTGACACAAACCCTATACCAACTCGTCTGGCCAGCGTGGTATAGTAGGCCAAAACCTCCTTTCTAAGGAGAGGCTTATGCCCAGCAGTGGACTGTTAAAGGCAGTTGATGATGATGTTATTACGTAAAAACCCGAATTATTTGAAATTGTTGGGAATTTTAAGAATATGTAAAGCAAAACTACGTTTGTTTTTATTACATAGTGACGGCGCTGATATGAATCTGCAACTCAAAAGTCACAAGGGCGTTGCCACCATCAAACAATCCAAAACCAAGGATCGGGGGGATAGGCGGGGGACGCAACGAAAGAATTGCTTCACACCGGTTTCTTGTGACGCTGCGGTATCACTTTACCATAATCCACAGTGAAAACTGTGCAAAGAAAAGTAGTGGAAGTATTTTAACATTTTTTCTGCCTGTGAAACAATTTTCGGAATAGCATTTCTTTATATGTAAACCATAGTGCGCAAACATGTGCTTCAAATACTATAAAATTTCCAAAATACACGAAATCATACAGCAGTTTTATTCGACACTATAGAAGCGAAGTTTTAACTTTTCTAGAAAAATTAAAACTTGCCTTTTTGTATTATATTTCGTAATACATTAAGGAAACGTATATGTTATTATATTATATTATTAAGTTAAAAAAAACCTTATCGGTCAATACTAAATACTGGTCAGGCGGCCGAAATAGTATTGAACGAAAATATAATTTTGATATGATAAGTTGAAATAATTAAGACCGTAGAAAAATAAAATATTAAGCTGTAAATATTTTTCTTACAAACACCCGATAGTCCACGGTCATTATAATAGCTGTTTCAAATGATATTTGTTTATGAATTCCGATAAAGGATTTAACAAGTGTACTTTGTAATTTGTGAGTTTGTTTATCATTTCATTTGTATGAAATATAAATAAACAAACTGTAATGAATATAGAACGCAGTAATTTATAACTATCATTAGGCTGGGCGCTAGAGGTACCTAAGTGAGTATGCAAAATGTGAGGACCGAACTCCACCAATGTATTTGTGTTAAGCAAGGATCAAAGATTAATAATGTGTGTGTGTAATAATGTGGATCTCGCCGGTTATTTTTTTTGTCCATTTCTTTTTTACCCCTTCTACTCTTACACAGGCCAACAACCCTAAGACCCAAAAACCTTTTAGTGCGTTTAGAATCCTTTTAGTGCGTTAGTGTTCAGAATCTGAGGTGAAAATGTGATATCTCTGCAGATATCTTAGCAAACTCAATGCGATTTGAAAGGTTAAGGCCTAAACTTTAAAATGCTTTTAACAGTTTTTGGAAGAAAAATTATGTTACGATGCTACGTAACCTCAAAAATGGCCAAAAACATATATTTTTGCACTTTTAGGTCCTAACCTAAAAGTGCAAAAGTATATGTTTTTGGCCATTTCCTAATATTTATAATATCCTAATATTTTAGAAAGCCAAATTAATTTTCCAAAGGCCAGAGGAAGCAGTACAGCCTTTTCCTAATTTAACGCTCAATGATACAGTATTGTGTAGGGTAAATAAATTTAAGTACTTAGGAAATGTGCTGACCTCTGGCCTCAAGGACAATGATGATATAAAGAGGGAACGAAGGGTGCTGTCAGTGAGAGCAGACATGATAGCTCACAGGTTTGCACCCTGCTTGACAGCAGTCAAACTTATACTTTTAAGATCGTATTGCGCTTCATTTTACACGTGCAACCTATTGGCTGACTGCACTCAAGCGTCGTACAGTGCTCTCCGAGTCCAATATAATAACGCCTGCTGATGGCACTGCAGCGTTTTTGTAGCGCATCAGGGATGGTGCTAAACATTGCAAGATTCCTTTTATTGCACGATGCTTAAAAGATGCACATTTCTTGTGCACTTTCTCTTGACAAAAGTATTCTGAATATGATCGCTAGTCGCTGGACTGTAGTTACATCAACCGTTGTTGTGTGTCTCATATACGTATGTTATATGTCTTTTTTTCTTTGTGTTGTGGTTTGTTTTCTATATTATAATGTACTATATTAATACTAGTTTCTAAGAATATTGATACTAACAAATGGGACACCATAGTCTGCAATAAAGGTTAATGGTTTCCAATGACCTAGTATCATGAAAGTGAGAGTGGAAGAAGAAAACTCATGCACCGACAGCAAATAAGTTTGTTAAAGGGTAGAAACATGATGATAACTTTATTTTTTTACCACGTTTTTATTTAAATATTACAATATCTCCAAATAGAGTATTTACTGTATGTACTAAATGCAATGCCGCAATAGGTACAGTAGATAAACCACAACGATTGGTCTAAGTAATATCTCCTCATTGCCATTTTAAATTATATACAATATTAGAAGTTGACCTAATTTGCCTTGATCATAAAAATACGATAATATATCTGGGGCAACATAGTGATGTTGGTGTCAATTTTAATATTTTTGTTTCTATATGCGTATATATATGGGTATCCAGATATATTGTTTTCATAATCAAACCTCTTAAAGTGTTGATTAAAGAGAATTGGCGTGTATCTGGGGATACGGTAGTGCCCCCGCCGAGTCGAGCAAAAAAGCGGCACGGCCGTACCATCCTTTTCTCGAAGCAGTTCAGACCATTTTCGACCTCCTATAACTTCGTTATGGATGAAACTAGAAGCCTGAGTTTTTAGTAATCAAGCAGGCATTGTATAAACACTGTTTATTTTAAATTTTATTCAATTTCAACCAGTAGTTTAGGAATTATAACAAGTCTACATTTCTTACTTTTGTCACTCACTGACTGACTGACTGACTGACCGATCATCAAAACTCTAAGGCACTTCTAGCAGACATAGAAGCTTCAAATTTAGAATGCAATTAGTATGTAGTGTATAAATCAAGGAAATATATAATAAATATTTCGTATATTCGGTCCAGTTTTTGTTTGGATAATTTTAAGGTATATTATTAATACGTTGTAATCTTACCTCAAGTTTGCGATTTTCGTTTATAATTTCGATTGCTACCTATTATTACTTTGATGATTGGAAGGCTTACTCATTTTGGCTTTAAGGGCATCCGTTGTTTGTATTCAAGACGTAAGGTACCGGAAAGAAAGAAGTAGGACTATCTAAAAAAGAAATAAGATGCCATCAAAAACAAAACTTGTAAAAAACCAAGTCAAGCAAATCAGTTCTTCTACCGTAAAAAGTTGTGAGATCCATGTAATACCAAGTCGGTTGCTTTAGTAAGTCCCTAGTTACGGGACTTTCTGTCTTAAGTTATCATCATATAGTGACCATATTAATATTAAAAATCTTTTATGTTTTAAATATAATAGATTGACTTGGCCATCGCATGAAAACACAATGTATCCCACAAGTAATACATATTATATTAAATAAGATTGTTTAGTGCGATTGCCAAGGAATAATAAGGTACTCGTATTCTTTAAAATAGCTTCGTTAATAAGCCATATTTTTTTTGTAAAATTTAAAAGATAAAAAGCCGTGTGATGTCGTGGGACACCCGATAGGAACGAAGTTGTGACGATCTAGTAAAACTGATTTGACACGATTTTAATTACAACGCCATCTATGAAAGGGGCTATTACCTACATATTAAAAACAATTAAAACAATTTATACATTGGTAAAATCTCCTTGCGAAATGATTTCCTATTTATTCGATAGATGGCGCTGAATGTCTGACAAGATGACACGAAAATAAAGAGCAAAAAGCCAACATCACGTGGTATTCCCAGGCGGTCACCCATCCAAGTACTAACCACGCCCGATGTTGCTTAACTTCGGTTATCGGACGAGAACCTTTATATTCAACATGGTATGGACGTTGGCGAACGTTACAGCAAATTTAATGTATGGTATCCACAGTTAGACGTCAATTTATATTAAAAGTGTCGTTCCAAATTTTCGTATGAATTTTTTCCGTCTAGCCCCCTTTCACAACGCGCGATAAGGAACTTCGTTCCAAAAATGGTTACTATGTTATCCTCAGGAGATAGCCATAGACCATCGTGGAGCGGCAACTTTCAAATTTTGTAGGCACGTATTATGTGTTTCTTATACATATTTTCTAAAGCTGTTCTAGTATTTGCGTCTGATAGTCATAATCTGGGGTTGATGAGCTGGTGATAGAAGGTACAATTCCTAAACGGTCTGGAATTGGAGGATAGTTCTTTAAATACGTTATGTATGTATGATACCATATGTATGTATGGTACCATATGTATAAACTTAGACTTTTAGTTGTACTCTTTCAAGTTATTTAAGTGAGCTGATGATGGAAGGTGAAACTCCTCCATGGCTAGGAGTTAGATGATGATTTAAGATGTTGACATAGTAACCTGTAATGTACAGGAAAGTAAAGACGAGAAACCTGCAATATATACCTAGCTTGTCTCAGTGTTTTAATTTAAATATTTACAATTAGTCTTAATCGCTGATTTTTTGGGCTTTGTGTACCGTTAACTCTCAAAGAAAAACACATTCATTATGGAATCTTTACGCGACTTAGC